TATAAAGAAGTGATTTAAAATTAAATGTGTGAATCTAAATAAGAAATGATGGAAAAAGTTATTGTCGATCTGGTCCACATATTTATTAAAATTATTGACTTTTATTTTAACTTTCTTTTTTTACTTTTTAAATTAATTTACAATTAATTTTCATATAATTCACTATACAATTCAATCACTAAACACATCACAATAAAAGAAACGCATCAAAAATTACAATAAAGAAACGATATGAAATGTCAAAATCATAAAAAATTCGGAAGAAGCAAAAAGAGAAATGCAAAGAAAATGGCATGTAACCCTGTGCGGTGGCTTATCGTGCCATTTTTTCTTCTATCCTTGTCTCTCTACACCTTTTACCAACAAAAAAAAAATGGCATGGTTAAAAAATGTCACCGTGTAAAGGCAGTGTAGGTTTAGTAAGGAGTGGTGTACCTCAAGGAAGTGTGTTGGCGCCACATATGTTTAACTTTTTTCTGCACGATTTTCCCCACATTGGCCAAAATTCGCAAACGATTCTTTACGCGGACGATTGCTTGATTTACTCGCACGACGCTTCACCGACAACCGCTCTGAATAGCGTAAAAGCCCATTTAAATATTATCAACAGCTACTACAAAACGTGGGGTATGCAAATCAACGCTTCAAAATCAGCCGCAATTTGCTTCGGAAACGCCTCTGGAAAATGTCCAAAATATGTAGTCCCAGAAAGTAAGCTGTTACGGTTGACATTGGAAGACATTGAAATCCCATTGAAAACGTCAATAAAATATCTGGGGGTTCATTTCACCAACCTTTTCAAATTCAACCAGCACGCACGATCTATCATAAAAAAGGCAAAAGGAATATTAGGAAAGTTCTCACACATTTTAAACAACAAATACTTACCCCAGAACACAAAACTACTTCTCTATAAAGTAGCGATAAGGCCTATTTTATTGTATGGGTTCCCGGTCTGGTTTACCATTTCACCAATAGTAGCCAAAGAACTGGAAATCCTTGAGCGGACAATATTAAGAAAATGTATCAACAAATCTTACTCAAGTCAACAAAAAAGATAAAAAAATCCTTCTATGTAAGAATTGCTCGCATTTTCAACAATCTGCCACCTAATCTTAAGACATTCAATTCTTACCTAAAATGTTATAGGCGTAAATTATATGCTCATTTCAATATTGTTTAAAGTATATAGTTTTCTTGTGTTAATTTGTTTTTTTCCTTGCATAGTTGATTTATCTAAATCTTCAATGAATTGTGATTTTTGCTAATCTTTTTTTTTTGTTATTTTTTTAATGTTATTTTTAAGATAAAGGATGTTATGAATAGTTTTGAGTAGTCATGTATAGGAGTTCTTGGAACCATCAATCAATTGTTAATTTTATTCATTTTTTGTTAATTTGTTTTAGTGTTTAATTTTAAGTAATTCTTTTAGGATTAATTTTAGAGTAGTCATGTATAGAAGTTTTTTGAACCGTCCATGGCCCCGTTGGCTAGGTTTCTGTTCTAATTGAAAATAAAAAAAAAAATAAATAAAAAAATCACTCTCAAAACTATGATGAAATGTGTGCCATTCCTAAAAAAGAGGGCATTTATAGCAAAAATAAATTATGACATTTAAAAATTCAAAATAGAAAACAATTGTAAAATATTTTAAATTTTTTTAGAAGACTGAAATTATGAATGAAAGATATAGTGTTGAATGGCGTGTGTGCATTCAAACGAAATTAAATTTTATTTATTTCCTCATCCGAGGTACCCTTTTTGTTCACGAGTTGGAATTTCAACAGAAAACTGAAAACAAAAGAGGCAATATTTTCAAAACTTTTGTATCGTCAAAATTTTTTTCTGACAAATGACTCTCCAAAAGTATTAAAAAACAGAAAAATATATTTAAAATGTCAAAATTTATACAAAAAGTTAAAAACATGAATGACCTAAAAGCCCAATAAAACAAAGTCTTAAGTCATTCATGAATGAAAATTGTTAAATGAAAGATAAAATAAACCTTTGGAGGAAAAACAATAATTTCTTCTATTATTATTAATGCTAATTGCAGGTACTTTCGTACAAATCCCTATAAAAATCAAGAAATTTGAAAGAAGGAATTATGTTACAATGAATTACAAACGGTGCCGTATGAACGGGTTAATTCGTGTACCTAATTTTGAGAGCGAACAACGTGATTGAAATTGCAATGAGAACATAGTATAAGTCGAACAATCGGCTATGAATATTCGAGTACTCGGTTTTTACCCAAGTCCATAGTCGAGTTTGATAGCATTTGGAAAAACGATAGTAGCAGCTAGTACCGCGCTCTTTAGTGAAGATGTTCAATTTTCTCCTGTCTCATTCGTAAACAACAGAGTACCCGGAGTCTTTGCTTTCTGTTTATTTTTTATCAAGTATTGCTTTTTGGCCTTTATATTCGCTTCGTTGGGACGTTTTTCATTTTTGTTTCCCACGCTCGCAACTAACAACCAAACCAAACGAAAGCGCGCGCTTGAAGTAAAGACAGCAGAGACAGCAATCACCACACCAAACCAATAAGACCAATAAGATTAAAAGGATATTAAGAAGTGCATTTGCTTTTCTATGCATACCCTTGGCGTCATTAGTAAGATGGTGGGAGATCGGTGCGGACTTAACACATCTCGAACTATAACTATATATAATTATATTCTGATCAATGAATGAAGAAATGTTGTAAACAATTGCTTGCTATAAATCGGGCTACGTTACTAGGAGACACGGTAGCGAGCGATGGTACGAGACACAAAAGATGGATTGCTCTAACGATAGCCACTTGTGGTTTTCCACTCCATCATGCTATTGTACGCTTGTAACAATATAATCATATAATGGGCTTTCACTTTAACTGTCGGACAAGTAGCTTGACGTTACAGCAGTCTGAAGTTGGTTGCACCTCCACCATTTAGCGATGTCCGCCTGTCTCTTGTAATCACGCTATCTTTCGAACGAATTGAGATGGAAGGCTACAATGTTGCATACATGCATAGTTTACCAGTAGGCAGGATATGTTCGTAAATGGACAAAGTCGGTTTATTTTTCCAGTAGGCAGGTATTTTTAAGATTTTAACAGAATTTTTAAAAGATTTTATTTTTTGAAAACTGCCAAATTTGTACCAAATGGTGGAGGTACTTACAGCTTTTTTACTTGTTCAATTTCAAATAGTAAACCATTTACCAATGGCAACGTCATATCCTTGGGCCAACCAACTGCATAAAATTCGATGTCGATTTAGCGATGTCCGTCCGTCTGGGGTAATCACGCTAGAATCAAAACGAATTGAGATAGGAAAGATAAGAAGCTTAGTCCTTTGTCTGCAGGCAGGATCTATTCGATATATCCACGGTATCGTATAGTGGAATTGGTTTATGACCAAAGTTGCTTATGCAGGTCCATGTCGTCGTATAGACCCCAATATAATGGCTATATTCGGTATTTTCAAAATTTAAATTTTTAAATTTTCAATGGATTTTATTTTTTTGAAAACGAAAACGTTTTCGTGAACGTTCCAAATGTGTTATTTCAACAACTGATATGGTATTCGGTATTAATACCCTTCAACACCATGTGTTGCTAAGTTTGATTGGCCAAAAATTATGTAACACCTCGAAATATTGGTTTCCCACATTGGAAATTATATATGGAACTTCCTTACGTTACGTAGATGCGGATAGGAAATATATCCGATAAATACAGCGAAATATATACAATGTGTATATACAAAGAAAGGAGATGTTATCTAGAATGCTAATATCTCCAGAATGGCTGGAGCGATTTTGACAAATTTTGTAAATTTAGAATGCCTTCTTGGCATAAAAGTAAAAAAATCTAAAAAATATCGCAGAAAAATATGCCTATAATGATGATAATATACATTTTGTAGAATTTTGTGACAATTTTTTTTTTCATATTTTTTATCGCATGCGATTTTTTCAATTTGACTTAAATATTGAAGTGTATATTTTGTAATATTCTTGCACTTTACAACAGTGTATACAGATTACAATTATCCTTCGATCCTCATGAAACTTTTGACAAAGGTAGGGTAGGCTCAGAAGGGCTAGGCCCATTGTTTTTAAAGATGTCCGCAATATATTTAGAGGTTGAAATTGACCAACAAAACATTTTTCTAATTTTGCAGCCGTTATAAAGGTCACAAATAGAAACCAAAGGACACGAAATCCCGCATGAAATTAGAGTTTAGGACAGCGGGTAGAACGGACCACTACTGTGTATAAAATATCAACATTACTTACAGGCGATATCCGACGAATATGGCCAAATATCGTAGATAAGCATATCATATAGATTAGTCTAAATTTGGAGATACATCGGGGCATCTTACTTTCGCAAAATATTTCGGGGTTAAAATGAACCAAAAGCAGAAAAAAATTCCTTATTACACAATTGAAGCCAATCGACACGTCTAAGAAGGAGTTAAAGACAAAGAAGAAGTAAGGGGGCTTCTAACATATGGTAGTGTTGTAGGGTATCACATGGTCGGCCCCGCACGAATATAGCCTTTGCTTACTTGCTTATTTTAAATTTTCATTAAAAACAGGAGGAAAATTTCTTTAATGGTCGGTTCTATTGAATATGTATCCATAGCATGTCATCCGATACGAACAGCCGATTTACATGTCATTATTATTATTATTAAATATACTTTGACAGACATTATGATCTCAATTGTAGTTTTAGTGCGACTTTAACGACATCATGGATTCCAAATACTGTTTTGAAACCAAGTGCCATGTGTCGAGGCGACTACCTTCCTCCTTTTTTTTTTTTTTTTTTTTTTTTTGGACTCGATAGTTGATTTCTCCGTCAAGAAGTAGTTGGTACCCGATACCCGAAGTATTCATGTACCAGTTGCTAAGTTATCGGTTATCGATTGTTAGTTCCTTTTATCGCTGGTAAGTCCGAGAAAATCGTGAAAAAATTGTAATTTAACCGCTCACTGTTGTATTTAGGACATACAAAGATTTGCTGATTGTCGGTGTTTGGCATATTGCAGATTTCGCATATGTTGGAATTTTCAGCCTTTATTAAAAACTGGTAATTTTTGCCATACGTGTGTCCTGTGAAAAGTCGATTAATGAGTTTTATGTTACCAGGAGTGAGGTTAGTGCCAGTAAACCAGTGACGAGTTGGCAGTTCAGGAAAAAATTGGGAGAAGTATGTGCCTTTTCTTGTGCTGATATTTTTGTAATTTTCGTTCCATTCTCTCCATAGGTGTTGATAAACTAATGAATAGCCATCCTTTATGGCCAGCTTAGTGGTTATGGATGCCCCGACTTGAGCTGCGCATTTTGCAAAGAAGTCTGCCCTTTCATTAGCAGGAATACCAATATGTGAAGGAGTCCAAATAAAGGTGAGTATAGATATTTTACTATTGTTGACTTTTTTGATAATATCATTGGCTAGGTAGTTTTGTACCGAATTGTTTTTGAGAATTTGACACGCATTCTTGCTGTCAGTTAGAATGGTTGCCTTATTGACTTTGTCTTCAATCATTATATCAATCGCTTTGTTTATTGCATGTAATTCACCCATCAGCGATGACATTTTTCTTGATATTTTAAACAGAAAATTTTCGTCCTTGGTGATATTGCACACTGCACATCCGGTCTCATTAATAGAAACAGAAGCGTCTGTTGCCCAAATGGAATGACCTGTGCTTATTAGTTTTTGAAGTTTTTCCTGCAAAATTGCTCTAAAGTATTCATTGGGTTGTGCATTTTTGGAAGAATTGAATAAATTCATAAAAAAGGTGATATTTTTCCTGGGATATTCTGCTTTGTTGACCACAATTTCATCAAAAATATGTTTAAACTTGCTGTAAATTAGTCCCAAGCTCGTTTTGTTTGTGGAGTTTCTGGTTATACTGTTGTACAGTTGAGGATTGTGACATTTAAATTTTATTAATTCTTTTGCAGTTAAGTATTGACTTCGTTGCTCGGGTGGCAACATAAGTGCTAAGGCATAAATTGTGTGTGTAGGAGTAGATGGTGTTAGGCCAAGATTCCTTCTTAATAATTGATTTTGAAAGGTGGTGAGTTTCTTATTTAGATATACAGGCATATGGGCCATTGATGAAATGCAATATTCAGTTTTAGAAAAAACTAGTGATTTTGCTAGATTAATTGAAATATTTGGGAGCAGGCCGTGTTTGTTGTTGTTGATCATTTTTAGTGCGTTAATTGACGTTGTACAGGAGGAAATTACTTCGTCATAATGCTCTTTCAGAGATAAACTGTTTTTAATGTGCCTTCCCAGAAATTTTATGCTGTTAACTGGAGTGATTTGTGTGCCTTTTAGTCTGATGTATGGAACTTTTTTTGGACCTTTGGCTACGTACATGACGGCTGTTTTCTCAGCATTGTATTTTAGATTAAGTCGTGAGAGTAAGTTGTGAAACTCGATGGCTTTTTGTTGTAGATTTAAATTTGCCGAATCAAAGTCTTTGTGAGCAGATAACAAAATAAAGTCATCCGCAAATTGAAAAAGATAAGTGTTGATGTTGGAAATTCCGTGTAAGCCCAAAGTGTATATGTTGAAAAGAAGAGGACTTAAACAACTGCCTTGGGGTAGTCCATTGTATATTTCGAGTGAATCATCTCCCATTACGAGTATTCGACGACTTAGAAAGCTGATTATCCAATCTGTAACTTCGGTTGAGCATTCGATCTCCTGCAGAATTTTGTGGAGTATTTCTATTTTGACGCAATCATAGGCTTTTTCAACATCCAAAGAAAGAATAATTACTTTTTCACCCATATTTTTGTGATGATTAATAGTGTGCAAAATGTTGTTGATACACATAGATGAGGACATGTGTTTTCTATATGCGTAAGTTGTGTGAGGCAGTATATTATTATCATCAATGAATTTTTGCAGACGTTCTTTAATTATCAGATTAATTATTTTTAGAGGAACTGAGATGAGAGCTATTGGTCTATAGTTAGTAAAAATATCCAGATTTTTTCCTTTCTTTGGTATTGGTACAATTTTAATTTTTCTCCAGTCTTCTCTTATTTTACATGTTTTCCATAACAGGTTTATTGCTTTAAAAAAGGAAGCTTTCGCAGAGTCTGATAAATGATTTATCATATTATAAGAAATACCATCCAAACCAGCAGCGGAGGGCTTCTTTTTATTTTTAAGGACTAGGAGAAATTCATCGATTATTAGATCTGTACGATTTGTTTCAGAAGATAAAGCAAATTTAATTGGAAGATTCTCAGAGACTTGTTCTCTGAGGTGAGATAGAAAACGCTTGTTGTTGTCAGAAGACCATTTGCTTTTGCTTTGAGATGATAGAAAATTTTTGCAGCCACGAACAAACTGAAAAAGTGATTTAGAACTGGGTTCTTTGTTTAAATTTTGTACTTTTTCCTTGAAGGAGTGTTTTTTGGCATATTGCACAGCGTTTTTAAAATTTTTGATCATTTTTAATAAATTTCTAGCATTGATCTCATTGTTATGCAGATCGTAAGTCTTTTGGGCTGCTAATTGAAGACGGTATTGTTTCTCTACATATGGGTCCCACCAAATTTTTGGTGTTTTTTGGTTTTCCTTTAAAGTGTAGGTAGAATTTTTAATTTCAGCTGTTATTTTTGATTGGATTTCATCGAAGTTGTCATTAAGAGACAGTTTCCCCAGGTTTCGTAATAATTGTTTTTTTGCTAAAAAAGTTTGCCCTTTATTTTTGATATTGTTGAAAGTTAGTGTTATTGGGAAATGATGGCTTCCTCCAATCATAGCGTTGAAAATTTTCCATTGTATTTGAAAGTTGGAATTGGAAAATGAAAGATCCAAAACAGAACCGTTCAAATCCGTAATATTTTTTTTAAACGTATATCCTCCATCGTTTAAGCATCGAAAATTCGTAGCATCAAAGATTTCCTTTATAGTCTTTCCACGTTGTGAGACATATATATCTCCATAAGCAGAATGTCTGGCATTAAAGTCTCCGCATATGAGAGTATTTGGGCGATTTTCTACCAGGGATATTAATTTCACTAGTTCATTTTTAATTGTAGCACATTTGACAGAATGTGGAAGGTAAACAGACACTAATGTTAAATTGTTTGTTAGGTTGGTAGTTTGACAAATTAAAATGTCGAGAGGAGTTTCAAAAGGAATCTTTTTATATTGGATATTGTTTTTAAATAGTATAGCTACTCCGCCGTAGTTATCACTTCTTTTTTTGGACATTATTTTATAATTTTGAAAAGTTGATAAATTTTTGTTTTCATCGATATTAAATATTTCACTTAAGAAACATATGTCTATATTTAGCTTTCTTAGGTGAAATTCAAGGAAGTTTTTGTTTTTTGTTAAACTTTGTACGTTGTATTGTAGTAGATTCATATTTATTTATTAAAAATTGCAGGTTATGAGTCGTCTGTGGGGACTGTGATTCTGGTTCCTGTTAATAAACTGCTTGCTGCTAATGGGATCAGTGACTGCTGGAAACTTTTTAATACATTTAATCCTTCTGTGCTGTTAAGAGATGTGAGTATTTTTGACATATCTTTTGCAAAAAGATTAAGAGTTTTTTCCAATTCTGTAACTTTAGAGAAACTATCTTGGTTGAAGGTGGGCTTGGAAGGCGATATTTGGATTGGATCGGCAATGGCATGACGTATTTGAATTCTGGGTGAAGCAACTTGGCTATATTTTGTTTTTGTAACTCTTTTGTTTATTTCTTCATAAACACTTCTTTTTGGTGCACTGTTTTTTATTAGAGGGGGGAATGCATTATTGTATTTTTCTTCTGAAAGTATTTGGAAGCGATTTTGTGTTTCAGGGTACTTCTGAACAACTTCCTTTCTTGACAGATTGGAGAGGGCCATGATACTCCTTATATTTTTTTCCGATTTCCATTTTGGGCATTTGTTGGAATCTGTAGCGAAATGATCAATACTGCTGCATAGGATGCAACGCGGGGAGCTGCATATATCTTTGCATGTAGTACTTGATCGACAATCTTGACATTTTTGTTCCTTTGGACAGTTGTTGGGACAAATCATTGTTTTACCACAATTTAAACATTTTTTCATTGACCTGCAACGAATAGCTATGTGTCCTAGACGTCCACAGTTCAAGCAGAGACGTACTAGTGGCACATACAGTTCCGGGGTTATTTTGGTTCCACACATGAATATTTCGGTAGGTACACCATCGTATATGACACCGATTTTGATAGTTTCGGTGTATTCCAAAGTATTATTTTCATTTTTCCTTGTGAAACGATAAACAGAGACAACATCCATGTCGTTATTAGCTTCTATTTGTTGCTTAATGGTAATGGCTGAGATACTTTTTGGTACATTCTTAATGATGTAAAAGCGCTGAACAAATCTTTCAGGAATGAATGCTTTTAGGCCTATTTGCTTTAAGTTCTTATTTTGCGCAAAATTGTTCGCTGAGTTAGCATTATTAAAAGTTAATCTAAAAGTGTTATATCCAATGTTTTTGCAGGCATAATCCGTAATATTGATTTTTTGGAATTTGGCATAAAGGTGCAATTCGCAATTTTTCCTCCTAGTGCTTATTGGAGTTTCTGAAGAAACTAGAACAAAAAAAGGGCCAGGATGATACGCTGGATACAAAATGGATTCTTTGTTTAGAGAATTGTAGTTGTATTCATCTTCATTTTCATTGTTAGTAGGTAGTTGTGCGTTTGCATTGGTGTTAACAGTCTTAACTGGAGATCCATAATTGTTTTTAAATGTTTTTGTTTCTTTGGCGATACTGCTGGCTTTTCTTTTGTTTTGCTCCCCCGGTGGAGGAGGTGGCGGAGGAGGAGGTTCCCCTACTCCCCCCATTTTAAATTCTTTAAAATTATATTTTTAATTTAATGATGGAGTAAAACACTTGTTTTAAATTAAAAACAAAAACCGAGAGAAAAAAAATTTTTTTGTAAGTGTGTGTGTGTGTTTGCAGGTTATGGTTTGTTGTTGTTGATGTTAAAAATGAAAGGTAAGCGACCAGCGCGAGAAAGTAGTCTAATGTCAACAAAAGTTGAAGAGCGACCTTTTTCTTTTTCTACCATGTCTGTCAAACTACGATAACCGATTTTCCCTTTATGAATGATATCGGAGAAAATTTTTAATTCAATCACAATAATTGCATTTTGACATAAGTTTGGTAGTCAGAAGGCTTGGAAGGGGAACCGTATACTGCAGTGAATGAAATCAATGTACGACACAGCCAAACAAAGCTACTTCTACTTCTTTTAGTGCCCCATGTCCCATGATATGGGATGACATGGTACAATGACCACAATGGTCCATATTTGTATTTGTTTTGAATAAACAGCAGATGCATATTTTCATATTTTGCGGTAAAATATGTCAGGGACCATTTGTTATCTATCTTTTGTTCCTTGATTGACACAGTTATCTTGGAAGGAGGCTAGGCCATGCTATCATGTGTTAAACTGGAGGCGAAGCAGTGCTTCGTTAATCAAATTCAATCATGACGATAAGCGTTCCTTGGGTTCTTACTAAGCTTTGCGTTGTATTTTATTTTCAAAGGAATGCCACCTCCAAAACGTTGCTGCATACCAGTGTGCGATAATTAAAAAAATGGCAACAGCAAACACATTTTCCATGCTGTAAAAAATGGATGGAAACCAATGTTGAAAAATCTTTATGGAATAAGCTGTAATGGTGGCTCGAAAATCTGCGAAAAACATTTTGAGGCAAGCATGTATGCCAATATGATGACTGGATCCAAGCAGCAGTACCTAGTCTGCAGTTGCCACCTCCACTTGCCTTCAATACAGTAGATGTTGAGACGACAGCTATGACCATCAATGAATGTAAGTAGAGTAGTTCTTTGATTATGAAATCGAGAATATTAATAATAAAATATACTATATACTAAATTTGTTGAGCAATATCGTGGCTCGAATGTTGCGATTATTCCTTTCTCTCCAAACGCCGAAGACGCGTACGCGTTGTATATACGACATTCCCCACATGCTTAATTCCTTAGTTAATAACTTTTTTGAACATTGTCTATATATAAAAAATATGCTGGGGAAAAAACAGGACGTCGCATCTCCTGATTTTTTGTTACATATTTTCAATTTAGATTCCGAATTAAATTATAACGATAAATACAGTCCACAATTGCGAAAAACCACTTTATGTCCCAGTTATTACAAGTCATATAACTTCGAGCACGATCCTATGGAGAGAATTGCGGCACTTTTTAACCAAAATGTGGTTCATGCTCTCAATATAGTTGATTTTTCCGATTTTTCCGAAGATAGACAATCGAGTCTAGAGGCAACGAAAAAATTTATATCTGGGATGGTTCCAATTGTGAGACTTTGCTTTGAAAGAATTGAACAGTTTGAACTAATTTCAATAGTTAATAAAGCCATTGATTTCTTACAACATGTGGAATGCGGTAACATTCCACAAATGCTCCAATTTAGTTTATTAACATTGTCTTCTCTGTTTATGGAGTATCCAAATTTAATAGTTAAAAATTGTATGAATGAATCCCTCGAAAGTGATTTCATTGAGATTAGAAAACGTTGTGGGAGAAGACCTACCTTTGTAGAACTAATTAATGTTAAGGCAAGATCCGATTATGTTATCACACTAACCGGATCTCTTGATCGTGCATTATTTTGGTCTGAGAAATGTTTTAAATCACAACCTTTTAATACCAATCGAAATTAATAGAAATTTATTTATGCTTTTTTTTCAATTTCATTTGCCCACTGAATAATGTCTACTATACAACGCTGTATTTCTGCAGTTCTAATAGTGTCTGCTTTGTTTTTTTTTCAATATCTTCTTTTGTTCTGTTTGTTGTTGATTTTTTTGATTTTTAATTGTTGAATTGTAGTTAGTGTAGTTTATTTTACTTATTTTTTTGAATTGAAATCCTTTCCTTTCCCTTGTTGAATTGGATTTGTAGTGTTTGAATTTGAATTGTATTGTAGTGTTTGTTTTTTGTTTTGTATATACATTTTATACATATTTCTCCATATACAATTTCTTCTTTATTAACTATCATATTTTTAGTTTTAGATGGGGGTTTTATGGGAAAGTGATGCGATTACATAGCCTCTCCTTTCCAACTGTCAACCTCGCCCACACATGGTGACCCCTGTTATCGCAAGAAAGGCACTGGCGATTATGGATTTATCGACAGATAGCTTGGCCTAAGTATACCCCTTCCAAGACAGCTGATTATACATTATTGTGATTGGAATGACAGATGAGATGACAAGATGGCTGCACGTCATTTACAAACATTAAATCAATCTGCCGTGGCACTTTTTGTATTTTTTTGTTTTTGCTTGTAATTTTGAAAACAACACATATTCGAAACTAGTCTACTGTATAGAACAATTTAGAACGAACGAATAATCCGTCGCTTAATGGATTTCCTAAAGAGTGGATTCAAAACTGTGCTTGGTGCCACAGAACCAGGTCAACCGCCGAGTGCTGCAGAAACAGTTGAAAAACTAGTCGACAGAGCATCTTCATCCACACTTTTGGAAGATCGACGAGATGCTTGTCGTGCCCTTAAGGCTCTTTCGAGAAAATATCGCATTGAAGTTGGTGCTCAGGGCATGCCCGCTCTGATACAAGTTCTTCAAAATGACTGCCAAGACTGTGAAATTATCTCTTATGCCTTGGACACTTTGTGCAATATTGTGGCAACAGAAGAATTTGATGAAGAGGCCGACAATCCCACAGTCTCGGTTAATGTGGGAGAACAATTTACGGAAATGTTCATAAAAAATCCAGAACATGTTTCCTGTGTTATGAACTATTTAGAGGAGTATGACTTTCGAGTACGCCGGGCAGCCATACAATTGCTGACCACACTGATACAGAATAAAACTCGTGATTTACAAGAGCATATATTGGTAAGTCCAATGGGTGTATCAAAACTTATGGACCTATTGTCTGATAGCCGTGAGGTTATACGTAACGATGCCCTCTTGCTGTTGATACAATTGACCAAAGGGAATTCCAATATTCAGAAAATTGTGGCTTTCGAAAATGCATTCGATAAGATTTTCGATATCATACGAGACGAAGGCTGTGCCGATGGTGGCATTGTGGTGGAAGACTGTTTGATATTGCTGTTGAATCTCCTGAAGAACAATTCCAGTAATCAACAATTCTTCAAGGAAGGTTCTTATATACAGCGGTTGGCTCCAATGTTCGAGTTGTCTGGCAGGGAAGGAGAAGAACAAGGATGGGCTCCCCAAAAAATGTCAAATGTTCATTGCATGTTGCAGGTGGTGAGGTCATTGGTCACGCCCAGTAATCAGCAACAGGTAGTGTCATCATGCCAAAAAGCCATGAAACAGTCTAAACTTTTGGAGGCCCTTTGTGAGATACTAATGGGCAGTGGTGTGCCAGCCGATATATTGACAGAAACAATTAATGCCGTGGCGGAAGTTGCACGAGGCGATCCTGACAATCAGGAATTATTGAGCAAAGTAATGGCCCCAAGTACACCTCCTAGGCCGGTGATTGTTGTACTGCTTATGTCAATGATTAATGAGAAGCAAATGTTGGCATTACGTTGCTCTGTACTCTACTCATTCCAATGTTATTTATACCGCAATCCTGCAGGTCAACAGGCAGTAGTCTCAACATTATTACCATCATCAGCTGCCGATGTGTCGAACCTTTCCACTGGTCAATTGCTGTGTACAGGACTATTTTCCACGGATTCATTG